GGAGGGGGCCCGTAGGCTGCGGGCAGGGCGCCTCTGCCTGCCCCCCCGGCCGCATGCCGGCCCCTGCGGGTACCAGCCCGACCGCCCCTTCTCCTGTGCTCTGCGCGCTCGTCCCCTCCTGCGTCCTGGCCGCTGCCCTGCAGGGTAGGCAGCAAAGGAGGCCCTCGGCCTGATGCCGTGGCCCGCAACAGCGAGTCCCTGGTGGGCGAAGCCGAGTTTAACGTGCTTGGGGTGGTGGAGCCTGCGGGGATGAGAGTCCCTGTGCTGCCTAAAGGAGCTTGCCCAGCCCCGCGGTAGGGACATCCCAGAGCTAAACAAATAGGTTGCAGCAGCATCATGTAAATGCAACCGGCACCACCATGCAGGTCAGCATCTGCATGCTGGGCCATGGGTCTCTGCCCCAAGGCAGGGACAAGGTTCACTGAGGAGTATTAACTGACCTCAAGGAGCATTAGTTGACCTCAAGGGGCTGCTTGGTGCTTAAGATTTTCTTATTTTGCAATTGCTTTTGCCATTTAGACAAACCCTTTGCAAGACCTCTAGGGCTTCTGGCTGCACTTGTGAGATGCGTGTGATGAGAGCTGGGTCAGTGCCCCTTCTGTACACTTGCTTTTGTTCCACTTGCCAGTAGATCCATGTTGCTGAGTTTACCTTGGCCTGCTGTGTTGGTACACAAGAGATCTGAGACTCCGTATTTCTCTTGGCACCAGAAGTCCCACCCTCTCTTTGCATATCTGCCTGCTGGAGACATTCCCACGTGGGAAAAGCAGAATTTCTCCCAAAGTGTGTGTGTGTGGGGGCGTGTTTTTTTTTTTCTTTTCTGTAAACAGTAGAAGAAGAACTCAAAGTCTACTTGGCTGACCTAACCCCACAAAGTGTATGACAAGGACAGGGTGACATGAGTGCAACAGCTTGTGCAATCATTTCCTCCAGAACAGGTGCCAATGTTAGGTCATGTTCAGCCAGCTTGCTCCTTCCTGTTACTGATTGTAAGTTTTGGCAGGTAGATAAGTAAATACTGCACAGATAAGGAGCTTTACGGCAGCTCTTCTCTAACAGTCTGTAATCACTGCCTAATTTCAAGGCAAAGAGTAAAGCTCTTTGGGGAGATGACATCTAGCAATGCAGCTGTGGCCCAGAGAGGTAAGCAGAGTGTGTAACCTGGACCCACTTTTTCCATCCGACTTGCTGTGCAGGGCCGTTTCCCCACTTGTAAATCCAAGCACAGCTGATCATATTACAACAAGGCAGGAAAAAGGGGATGGTCTGGGTGTATTCCTTTCATCAGCTCTGCAGGAGACATGCTTGATCCATGGTTATGTGAGGCTGGTAGTTTGTCTTTCCAGGAACAGTGTGCCCATGTGGGACATCTTGCTGGGGCTTTCACTGAACTTGTTTCAAAGCAGCTGCAACTGCTGGGGAAAGGAATAAGCAAAGCAGATACGATGGGGGAAAGAGCTGTGTGTGGAGCAGATAACAAATGTCTGTGGAGATGATATCTCCTGTGGAGGAAAGCTAAGGTTTAGAAATGCGGCTGGTTGATGCCAGAAGGAACAAAGCACTTGTCATGTTAGCCTGACCCAGAGGGGATTTTGCTTTTTTTTTTTCTCCTGATTTGTGCATTCTTGTAAACCTGCCTCATCAGCACTTTCCTGCCTGTCCAGGCTGTAAAGAAACACTGCCTTTTGGGCACAAACAGAGGGAAACTGTGCAGATGGCACATGATCATGTCCAAGAGGCAGCTGCTCTAACATAAATTGCTGGCATTTCCAGTCCAAGGTCACAAGATGAAAGAGCCCCTCACCTGGGCCAAAGTGACCTGACCATTCTGAGAGCCAAATTTGATCCAGAAGCCAGAGGAGAGCTGTATCAAGATGGCATGAAGCTACCTGCTGTATTTCTCCTAATGCTACCTAAACACACCCTTCTTTATTTTATTTCCAAGCATATTTCCCACAGCAGCTTATAGTGAAGACTAGCAAAAGGAATTGCTTGGTGGTGTTTTTTTTTTTTTTTTTTTAAACGTTTTTCTTGGCACAGGCTTCCCTTCCCTTTTACCTGTGGTTGTCCCTGCCCACTTACTGCTCCTTGGTTAAGATCTGTTTTCCTCTCTTGTACCCTACTTCTCTCTGCCAGAGAGTTCACCATGGTCAATGAAAATCAACATACCTGCAGCGCCAGCTCCAGCTCCAAGTCTGACGGCGGCAGCAGTAGCGGGAGTGAGAGTTCCAAGGACAGCTCACGCTGCTCCACCCCTGTCCTCGATGCTGAACGTCATGAGCGACTGCGGGAGAAGATGCGTCGACGGCAGGACTCTGGAGACAAGTGGTTCTCCTTGGAGTTCTTCCCTCCACGCACGGCCAGTGGTGCCGTCAATCTCACCTCCAGGTGAGGGCTGCAGGGTGGGAGAAGGGAGAAATGAGGTACCTTCTAGTGGAGGGCTGGGGAGTAGCTGATGAGGCAGGCTCAGGCCTGTGCT